AGAAGAAATACTTCAAAATCATTCTACATAGTCTGGATACACCTGATATTAAAATTGGAGGAAATATATTATTGTAAAGGGGAAATTATAAACATATTTCACTTATAAATGAGGATGCAATATCCTAAAAAACATATTAACAAGTTAAATTAAAAATTAATGTTTAAATAATGTACTTTGGTCAAAATTAAATCCAATTTATGTAAGAATTTGTCACTATTTTCTTCTCTTTTCTTTCTTTTTTTTTCTTCTTTTCCTTTTCCTCACCCCCTCCCTCCTTCTCTGTCTGGTTTCCCCTTCCTCTATGCCCCACTGTGTCATTAATTGTCATTAATTGTCCTCATATCAAAGTTGAATACATAGGATTCATACAATGTATTCATACTATTAGGGTCAGCCACCATAATTTTTAAGGAGCATTTTTTTTCTAGTAAACAACTGAATTTGTAAACAAACAATTTCATTAACTGTATCCTTAAACTAGGAATGTCCAACCTTTTTTCTTCTCTGCTGCACTTTGGAAGAGTTGTTTGGGTCACACATTAAACATACAAACACTAACGAAAGCTGATTAGTCACAAAAACATTCATGCTTATACAGACACCTTTTGTGATATCTGGCACTGCAGATAAGCAAAAAAAGTCCTCGTAATATCAGCATGCAGACACCACTGCCGTACAGCATCTTTCTGTTTAGAAAACTCTAAAAGCTTGGAACTATTCAACTTTGATTATAAGGAGTTTTCCACCAATGTAGAAAGAAACAGCACCGTAGCCATCACTGAGAAAGACAGATTCTGTTGGGGAAGGTAAAATCTGACTTAGTGATTTGCTTTCAGAGTAAAATAAGAAGATTCCCATTGAGTGGCATCTGTTTGGTGTAGCATTTACTACCTGGAAGCAGAGAGAGAAGCTTGTCACATTATTCACTTCTCATCTTCACTCCTACTTAGAGTTCTTAGCAAATAGAGTCACTTAATTTTGAAGAAATGATGTTGTTCTCTCAGACTTTGCATTTAAAAAAGAAAAGACCGTTTCCGAGCTCTTTTGTTCTTGGGGATTTCTTCTCTCTGGCTTTCACATGACACTTTGCACTGTTCATCCGAAAAAACCACTTGAACTAATTTGCTTCTTACAAGCAGCGCAGTCTAATTAGGCAATCACCCTTGTGTCTGGAGTCCACCAGGGAAAGGGAGTGACAGAATTGCACAATGAGTTCATTATAAAATAGCACAAAATAAAGACTTGAACTTACTAAATACAGACGGCAAAAATCAAAGTGTGAAATATTAACATGTGAAAGATGAAACTAACAATCGCCTTTAGTAGAATGTCTTGGTCAGTCAATTGAGCATAATTGAAAAGATAACAAAAAAGAAAGTTAAACAGGGCAAATATTAAAAATGATACACACACGCTGTAACATTCTGTTTTATATTAGCTACCAACATAAACATTCACTCACAGTCCTCTGAGGTAGCTTTGCCGTCTGTTCCTTGGTGATGGTTGAACTGATTTGAGTTCTTCCAGAAATCATATGCATGGTCTGTGATTTCTAATTTTGGTGTCTTTAAGTGGAACAGAACTTAAAGGACATAAGCAAGCTGAGGGCAGAATCTTTTCTGATTTTCATGACGTTTTCTTCCCATCTTTGATGGCACAAGAACACACATATTCACATAAATATTTCTAGCTTTTTGCCCTTAGTAGGTTTTTCCAAATCATCCAGTCTATTTTTCATAGAAATAACTCTCTCATTTGCAATTCTACTTGTGATTTCAAAAATAATTAAATGAAATAATTAAAATAACAAATACAACTTGTATAAACAAGATTGGGGCTCTCTCTCTCTCTCTCTCTTTTTTTTAGAGACAGAGTATTACTTTGTCTCCCTCAGTAGAGTGCTGTGGTGTCACAGCTCACAGCAACCTCCAGCTCTTGGGCTTAGGTGATTCTCTTGCCTCAGCCTCCCACGTAGAAGACTGGGGTATTCTTGTACGACTAGAACTCTACTGGTAGACAGTCCATGAGAGCATTGTGGTCAGATTCCCATGGGCACTGTCACATTGCTCTGTAAAAGAGAAGAAATGAAAAAAAAGTTTCAGGTATGTGAATTATTCTGATACATAGAAATCAGTAAAACAGAGGGATGACTTATTTTTAATAAACCTTTTATTTCAGAAGAGTTTAAGACATGCAGAAAGGTTGCAGAGATGGTACAGAGCGTTCCCATTAGACCCACATCCAGTTTTCTCTGACTTAGCATCTTACATAAGTATGAATGAATAGTGATACATCGTAGCTAACTAAAGCCCATCATTTATGAGGGTTTCACTGGCTTTTCCCCAGTGTCCTTTTCCAGTCTGAGGATCTTATAGAAGATACCAGGCTACTGTGCTACATTTAGTTGTCTGTCTTTTTAGGGCCCTCTAGACTGAGAAAAGTTTGCAAACATTCCTTATTTTTGATGGCCTTGACATTTTGAAGAGTACTGGGCAAGTATTTTACAAGATGTTCCTTAATTTGGGTTTGTCAGAAGTTTTCTTTCTTGTTTAGACTGGGATTATGGGTTTTGGGGTTTGGGGGGAGGAAAATTCCAGAGATAAAGAGCCATTCTTATCACATCGCATCAAGGGTACCCACCAATACCATTAAATGACTCATCACTGTTGATGTTGACTTTGATCATCTGGCTGGGGTGGTAGTTATGTTTTATACTGTAAAGTTACTCTAATTTTTTATTGCTGTTGCTTAAATGATTCTGGTGGGAAGGCTACGGACAGGAGAACTTTAGGGGTGGGCACAGTGGCTCATGCCTATAATCCTGACACTTGGGGAGGCTGAGGTGGGTGAGAGGAATGCTGGAGGCCAAGAGTTCAAGGCTAGCCTGGGGAATATATCAAGACCCCAATTTTACAAAAAGTGAAGAATAAAATTAGCCAAGTGAGGTGGCATGTGACTGTAGTTGCAGCTACAGGAGGCTGAGGCAGAAGGATCAGTTAAGCCAAGGAGCTGGTGGCTGCAGGGAGCTATGATCACAACTCTGTGCTCCACCTGGGTGACAAATGAGACCCTGTCTCTAAAAAAGAAAAAATAAAAAGACAGACAGAGAGAGAACTTTTGTTGTATTTGTGTGATTTTTATACTATGATGGTTTATTACACTGAAATGGAAGTACGCAAATTCTTTAGCCAAGCTTGCTCTATGGTAGGACTCAGCGGTCCAGCCTCTGTATGAGGACTTCCTGAATGTCTATAAGGTACAGTTAGTGCCATCTCAGCACTGCTACGAGATTCCCGTTTCCCTGTGTTGTTTCCTGTTTCTCAAGTGATTGTATCTAATGGAATGAGAGACAGGCAACAAAGCTATCTTTTGGGCAGTGGTTGGGAAGGAAGAATAAAGTACTGTGTAGTAGGACCAGGCTTCTGCAGTTGTGCGGGTCAGGATTTCAAGCTCAAGACTAGACATGACATTGCTTGGTTCAGTTTCATTTGAATCTGTGCTGAGCATTTTGATGGCAATTTGAAATTGTCCTTCCTACTCTTGAGTGCACGTAGCGAAAATGGACTTGATAATTTCCTTGCGGTACATCAGTGGGTGGCCCAGCCCGTCGTTCTGATGGGCAGACCTACGTCTTCCATGGGAAAGATGGAAAGCGATTCCAACGTGGTGCAGAGAGGGGTTTTGTGCACTCAGCTGCAAATTGCAAGGACTCATAATCTCATACTTCACAGAAGAAGTTGCACAAAACCTCAGAAACAATCTTTTAATAAAGAGCCAGACTCCTACACTATGCCAATCTATTGGAAAACATTTTAATATAGAACACAAAGAGATCTCTAAAACTCAGAGGCCATCTGTTGCCTTTGTGGGCCTGGGAGACATGAAGAGGATGTCACACCAACTTCCTTTTACCCAAATTTCCGTGAAGGGGATGTAAAAACTTTTCATTTTAGAGTAGAAAGTCACTCACCTTACTTACATAACGAAGTTTTCTGACCCTCCGAAAGGAATATAGAATCAGCAGTCCTGACCGTCTCAACTTCATCAACACGAAAGGAAGACTGAGGCCATGCTGCTGTTCCTTCTCTTCTGCAGTCCACAAGGGTTTCATTTTTCAACTCCACGTTGGGTGCACAGGGAACCCAGGTGTGTATTTCCTCAGTTTCTACTCATGCGGCCTCCGTGTGAGCTTGACCTGGAGCTGCTGAGTGATGTAAATATCTTGCTGCCAATTCAGACGTCACTTTAGCACTTCTGTGTCATTGTCCTGGTTCTCTGCCCATTGTTGAGGCCTTGGCTTCCACGGACAGGGCTGTATGGAGTGAAGTGTTCTGAGGAGAAGCAACGTGGTGCTGTGATCACACCTTTGTGGGGGGATCCTGAGACTCGGCATTTTGTTTCTGTCCAGCACTTCTATTCCTTGACCCCCCAAGCAAGACTCTCACCTTTGATTCTCAGTGTCCTGACGGAGAACAAGGAGACAATCAGGATTGCCTTGCCTGCCTTTAGGAAGGTGATTTTAGGATCCAAGGTGTAATAACTGTGCCTTATAAAGTCATTATAAACCATGCAATACTGTACAAGTCAAAGGAAAAGAGAAAATTTAAGGCTGCCAAGGGGCGAGTAAAAGTCTACCGTAAAAGGAACCCTTTTCATCTACACCAATTGCTGGTGGGTGTCATGGTGAGTGGTGGGGTGAAATCTGCCCCTTTCAGAACAGTGGATGAGAGGGACAGAGAAGAAAAGGAATTGGTAGATGCTTTGAGAACATGTCTGTTTCCCAGCGTAGGTTACAAATCCACTTCCCGGCATCTGAATCCATTTTCTCATTGACTTGAATACTTTAGTTGTACTAGACCATTCACAGATTTGTGTCATAAGATTTTGACTAACGAAGCCACTTGTGTTATGATTGCATAAAAACTGCCATGTTACGCTTGTTCATAGCGTTTGCCTGGTGTTGTGGGTAAGGGTTTATTTATGTTTTCATATTTCAGGGTTCAGGTTTCTACTTCCACTCTTCCATCCCTGAATGCTGATGAAAAATGGCTGTACCTACGACAGGTTGCCTGATTTTTTTCCCCCTCTGTGCACTCAATTTGTGTATTATTGTATCATATGACATTTTGAATCAAGTGCTCCTGGTACCAAGCTGCTATCAGCAGCTGATGCCAAAAATATTCATTATAACACTTCTCAGCATGCAAGGGAGAGCGTTTCAAATCACAGAGACAGAATTTCCAGCCATTGTTCTTTTCTTTTTTGCTTATTATACAGCAAAAAGGATGCGACACAAAAGGGGATTTATTAGAAAATAATGTTTCAGTAAAATGTTGTAAGACACGAGGTTCCTTGTTTGTAAAGGTCGCATGAAATCCAGTCCTGCGTTAAAGGCACCGTCTCAGAGGCTTCCTTCCCCCTCTTTTCTCTTTCTCCCAGTGTTTTTCAAGTGCCATCTTTGTTCAGTGTTGATTACATTAAAATGCAAACTATTGACACACATCTGGAAGTAAGAAATACCTTGGACAGGGCACCAGCCTGCATTTGCTTCATAGAACAAATGCCCTGCCCCCAGCAGCAACAAGAACAGAAGTATTTATTCCCTAAGGGGAAACCATTACAAAAATCCAATTGAATAAGTAAGGTTGGTCATTTTCTAATATGGATGGTGCTGAGCCTGCAACTATAGGCCAATCTCATTTGAATTAATTCATTTTGCAAAGTGAATGCTGACACTTGGATGCCAACTGACAGGATGCCAGGAAAAGGCATGGCGGAGGAGAGGAGCCTTTGGAGTCAGGCAATTTCGAATGCCTGACCTCTGGCTTTCACCATCATTTCTGGGGGAAGAAGCTAGGAGCCTGCTGGTTGGGAGGGAGAAGCAGGGCACACACCTGAGACAGACAGTGGGGCTGGGGAGAAGGCAGCTCAATTGGCTGATTTTTTTGCTGCAGCTTGAAAAACTGGGGGTTAATAATGTTGCTTCACTGATTTGGAGAGACTTGGAGCAAAAGGCTGGAGTTGGGCAAACATGGGTTTCATTTCTGCTTTGTGAAGACCTTCTAAGGGCTCTTTAAATCCGTGGTTCCTGCACGAAGTGCTGTGACCTCAGTCTAACAGAGCCCAAGGTCACGTGTGCCAATTAAGAAGAAATCAGAACCACTACCGTGGCCCACTGTGTTCAAAAGAGATGCCAATGTCACCCTCTAACTCTCATTGCCGTCCGGCAGACACTTCACCTGCCCTGCTATTTATTCTGTGGGTTGGCTCTGTATTTTTAAACATGCTTTCGTGTAGAGATGTTCCCCAGCCTGCTGGATCTTAGGCCCATTGTTGTAGACAAAATGGTTTATTTTGTCTGGTATATAATATTTTGCTAACTTTTGACTTAGAAATCATAAAAGCTTACCAAAACCTTAAAGGAAAAGTGAAGAATTTCATGTATAGTAAGCCCTTAGTAGGTAGGTTCCAATACTGTAGCAAATACTTCATACATGAGAGTTCAGAACCAGCCCATGTCCCTGTCTATGTCCTTTAAAAATGTAATTACCTCATCATGTCTGTGGATACTGTTTAAGATACTGCTTGCACATTTTCCTTTTCCACTGAAATTCTAGGAATAATATCCTAAAAAAATTACCCTCAAGAACAATGCATTAAAATCTGCTTTGAAAACAGTTTGCAATCGTCCATTTTAATTTCTAGGGGAAATTAATATGGACGTTAGGAAGAGTTTGGCAGTTAGAATTTGACCTTTTCTAAACCCTGTTCTGTTTTTGTCAATTCAGTTAAATTCTTAAACTGTCCATCAAAGTGGTTCCATGGTAATAGTGTCTGACCATCAACGAGGCCTACCCAGAAGGTATTAAGCAGAACCCGGTCCATAACCAGAGCTTTTTTTTTGTTGCAAAAAGGGGCTTATTCCTTGTCTTTGGCGAACATAACTTGCTTGGGAAACTTGTATCTTACTCGGGAAACTTGTATCTTTCTCGGGAAACTTGTATCTTGCTCTTGTTCTGTAAACGTATCTTTCTCTTCTTCCATAAACTTGGTTTCACCTTTGCTAAATAAATAAAAGAGTAAATAAATACACGAAAGGCAGCCCTTTTCTTAGCAATGACAAGGCCCCCAGTGCACAGGTGGTCTCCAGTGGAATGGCTGCATGCCGTTTTCAAACATCTATCAGAGAGTTTGGGGACGGTAAAAGACACAAGAATAGCAAGGCTAGTTTAGTACTGGGCACAGATTGATGTGAAATAATTAAAAGCAAACCAGAAAAACAGACTTGTGCTGGCCCTGGTCGGCTGGTCATTCTGTAGCAGCTGGGATTGGGCAAAGGGTGAGTCCAGGCCACAGACGCGGCCGGTGAGTCCCGAGACTGCGGGGTCAGCGTGACCGTGCGGCTCACCGCGGCCCCTCGCAGCCCCTGCTCCGCTACCCCCTGCCAGGGTTTCTGCCCAGCAGAGGCCGAGCCGGGCCTCAGCGGGCAGGCGGGACGGAAGGCCGGCAACCGGAGCGGCGGGCCAGGCAGGGCAGGCACCTTGCCCGCGCTGAAGTCCGGCGGGGGCGCGGGAGCTGCTGGGCTCGGAGCTCTCTCTGTGGCCAGCCTCATTCCTCGGCTGCCATTTCACCCAGTACAGCAGGGGGGCACGTGAGGCTTCCCAGCGTGGTGGCCGGCGGCTTTCTGGATCTATAAAGTTTTATTGATCACTCGGTTTCACCTTGTGTAGTTGTTTATTTCCTTTGGTGGGTAGGGAACGTGTACTCGACTCCGGGAAGAGAGGAGCTGCATTAGGCTCCCCTCGCACCGCCGAGCAGGCTCCTCCCCACGGTTTCCCAGCCTGCTAGCAAGTCCCTCGTCTGCATCTCTCTGCCTTCTCCTGGAGGGCTAAGTACAGGTGCTGGGCTCTCGAGGCAGAACCCAGCCTCGGGTCTAAAATGCCCAGGGTGGTCTTTGTAAAGAAGAAAATGCCTACTTTTGACTTATAAATGATGGTTCCCACAGGAATGTAGATGATTTATAAGGTTATTTCGAGTTAGTTGGCAGTTAAATAAGTATTACATTCTGTAACTGAAAAGCCTGAAAATCTGTATCAATCGTGCTTTTTAGCAAAGTGCAACAGTCGGGCACAAGAAAATATGCAGCTTCCCTCCTGCAAAATACTGTCGCTCAATTTTAATGCTTTTTGTTTTGTTGTTTTTCTTTTTACACAAAAGTGATGCAAAGAGGAAAAGAATAACATTGTTTTTCCACATGCTGCTGGTTATATAATTTATATTTGATTCTAAAACATATGCATGAATCCATAGCATAGGTCTTGCAAACACGGGGTTGTTCTCTGTTGCAGATGTCGTTCTGAGGCCACGGTAGCTGTGACAGGGGTCAGTGATAAAAGCATAGGGTGGAAATGACTATATGACTTAAAGGAAAGACTGTGGAGTGACAAGACAGTAAAACTGCCCTGGCAGGGGTGATGGCTGTGGCCGCATGCAAGGCTGTCGCTCAGGCTTGTACTCTATCACTCACTCCGGACCAAAGCTGAAAACCACAGCCAAGCTTGCACCTGCAGAGGGATACGATGCTATATTGAGGGCTGGGCTCAGGCGCAGCACTAGAATTTAGTGGAAAAATTGATAGTTGGCACGAGATTGAAGTAGATCAGGTCCAGAGGGCCCGAGATATGCTCCCCTCAACCTAAGTGGTGGTTGACAATTACACGCAGAGGCCACACTGGGAAGGCAGCAGCAGTGATTAGCAGTGTGCTGTGTGGCTTGCTACCATTTGTCCCTGTCTGCTCAGGCTGCTATAAAAGAAACACCATGAAGTGGATTTATTTCTTCATGGTTATACCATGAAGAAATTTATTCCTCGGTTCTGGAGGCTGGGAGGTCTGAGATGAAGGCACCAGCTGGGTGCCTGGTGAGGGCACCTTTCCGGCTTTGTACGAGGGGATCCTCACAAGGGGAGAGTTCTGAGGCAGCTCCGTAGGGTTTTCTTTATAAAGGCACTAGTTTCATTTGGGGCTCCACCTGCAGGACCTAATCTTTGCCTAAAGGTCCCACCTCCTAGTACCGTCACTCTGGAGATTAGGATGTCAATATACACATTTTCGGGGGGCAGAAGTACTCAGTCCATGACACCATATAGCTTAACTGAAATGAGATTTCCGTTGACAAATAGGTCACTTTCTAAATATCCTGAACTTAACAAAAATAACTTACATCTTTAAGGCTAATGCATTTTAACTTTACTGGAGGCTTAGAGAAAGGGAGAAAGTATCAATAAATTTACTGGCACATACATAAGGCGACCCTGACATTAAGAGGACTGTAAGTTATTTAGCAGCGATTCCTCCCACAGACATGCGCAGAGGACCCACGGTGTACGGTGCCTGATGTAAGGCCTGAACCTGTGGCAACAAATGAAAGAGGACACAGAATCTGCTCTCCTGAGGTTTAAAGTCAGATGCAACGCTCTCCCCCACCTGTCTTTGTGTAGCCCACAAGCTAAGATAGAAAGAAACATAAGAATAGTATTTTGTTTTGTTTTAGATAAGTAGAAGTTAGAAAATAAGAAGTTGACTGATCAAAGTATTCTCTAATAGACATACTTCTATCCGACAATGTGAATGCTACTTTCTTTGCATTATTACTATTATTATTGCTTAATAAAAATAATATTTTGTGTTACATGAACAATCATATGAATTTAATTTAGATATATTGACATTGAAATAAAATTTTAATGGAACGTAGCCATGCTCATTCTTTTAAGTATTGCCAAAGGCTGTTTTCATGTTACAATGTCCAACTTGAGTGGTTACATCAGAGAGCTCTTTAAGGCTAACCTGTTTCATTGTAGCCCTTTACCAAAGAGTTTATCAAAGGGTTTTCTAATGGGTTACAAAGATATTTATCATATTATCACACCCTTAAAATCAAGCATGGGGGAAAGACCGGGCAGGACTGGTGTGTAAATCTATGAATGTGTATGACGAGGCAAGCTGGTACTCCCTAATGTGAAAACCTTCATCACTTTTTGTTTAATTCTTTCCAGGGCTCAC